GTGTAAGTTCTGGCTTCTCTGGGACACTTGATCTCCAGAAGTTGCCCCCACCTTTTACATCCTTCATTCTAGTCTATAAAAGGGCAGTGTGGGGTGCCCAAGTGAGTATAAGTTTGTTTTAACCCCTCAACAAACAGGTATGGCCTCCATGTGGCCATAACAAATGTTAAATATGAATTATCTTTGAATTATGAGTTCTTTTATTCTCATAAGCTCTGTAACTGTGGAGTCCTGGGGGAAAGGAAGTTCACAGCGCAATATCTTGATTGAATCATACAGCACAAAAGAACACTGTTCTGGACCGGACCACACATCGCCACATGTGTCAGCACACTTATCCAGGGGCCCCGTCTGCATATCTTCCTCTTCTTTGAAAAAGCTGAACGCCAGTGTCCAAGATGCTGGTCACATGCACTGATATAGTCTGGGTGCAAATTTTTCCTCAGTACCCTTGTAAAAAAATAGCTTCCGATTTCAGAAAAGAAAACCTTGCTCATACACACATAACAAGCAGGGAGTAGCAGAGTATCTTCTCTGGAGGAAAAAAAAATCAGTGGGTGAAATCATTTGACATTAATTTAAAATAATTGTTTATTTTACAACCATAATGTTATCTTTTCTTTCAACATTGTTCTAGAAGCCTACAATGTGCTGTGTGTGCTGTGCTGGTAATTCATAGAATACACGGATTTGTATTTTACTTTCCTACAATGTTTTGGGGTATGTTTGTTGGATTTTTGCCACACCAGGCTCTGCTTGGTATTAATGAACCTAAAGACTAAATGCCCAGGATTGGAGTGGAGGCATTAGTTACATCAGTTTAGTCTCTGCTTTTACGCAGAGTGTCATTTTTCCGGTGTACAGATGTTATTGTATATTGTCTTGTTTCTAGATGGAATCGCATGCCCCGTTCATCTCTCGTATTAGCAGCTTGATAATTGAAACTACAAACACAGACAAGGAAATATGCGAGGCGAAAACTTTGGGACTCTCCCAGTAACGACACTTGTCTTCAGTTTGACAAATAAGATACAGTTTGATGCACAAAAGCCTTTCAAAAAGTCATCCTTCCAGATTTAAACCCAATAGCCCTGAAAAATAGACAAATAATTTTTTGTCTGAAGTTAATCACAGATTATTTTTTTACCTTTAAGAATTTAATTAAAAACACTAGATCAAATAAATATTTCAGGAGACCAGCAGTAAAATGGCAAAATACCATGTGTTTGGAGTTTTAGTACTCTCTGAGTACAGAAATTTATTTGCAGCAAGCAGAAAATAGACAGCAAGCATAAAAACACAGCCGAGTCCCCCTAGTGAAATTATTTATCAAGCTAACAAGGGAGGGACGCTTCTATTCACCGCAAGCCAGCGAGGAAAAGACACAGCTTTATATTTTACCTTTGGGTTAGCAAACCAGTAAAAATGCCAACTGCCAAGCACTTCACATGAACATTTCTTTCTAAATGAGCTTCCTTGTTAGGGAGTAGGAAAAAAAGTCTTCCAAGCTAAGGCATATTATAGCTTACAGGCAGAAAATTCTAGCACACATACTCTGACTCTTTGATGCACAGGTAACATATATATATATATATA